AGGTCAGCTTATCTACAGTTGCTCCGCACTGATCACGCTATGCTTTGTTGTTCTACATCAACTATTGGCCTCCCAGGGAAATGTTTACATGCCTCACATCTGCTGTTGTGCTTATGCTTAGCTTCACCCAAACAAGAGGAGAAGAAGACTCCACAGGGCAAACAGACCCCAACCCAAGGTCAAGACAAGCACCCCAAAATGAGGAAGAGGAGGGGCTTCCTGGAAAGGTGAGAGAATATACCCCCTGACCCTTGGCTCAAGATTTACTACTTCACTATTACTACCATCATCTCTGTTATTTGCTTTCTTTCTTATTGTTTCTGAGAGATTGCCTTTGTTTTCACCTTTTTGAAAGTACATCCATTGTTTTGTTGCCTTCACTTGATTGTGGAGTACTTTGGATTATTTCTAATCAGACGGGTTCATCCACTTTTCATCACACTGTGCTTGTTTTCAGGGTGATGTTTGCATGCTCAGTCTGCAAGTTCCGTTCGTTCTACAAGGAGGAAATGGAAACGCATCTCGACAGTCGCTTCCACAAGGACCACTTTAAGTTCCTGTCCAGCCAACTGTCCAAGCCCACTACAGACTTTCTACAGGTGACTGAGATTTGTCAAACAGTACACAGTCTGCTGTCGATGCATAAAGTGATTCATGTTTTCCATCACTTGAATTGCAAATCAGGAGAACACATATTGTCAGCCATATGCTTTTGGACAGATTGCTTTTTAGCATTTAGGGTTAAATCTCAAGGGCTGTGCAGGTTGTACCCAGGTTTTTTTTTTTTTTTTTAAATACCTTTTTGTGAATTTTAATATTTTTAACACTCACTGACAGGTTATTGTATTGATTTGCACAATATTATAAAGGTCCAACATTAATATTTAGGAAGATCTATTGGTAGAAATGAATACAATATTCATAGGTACGTTTTCAATAGCGTATGATGAGCTGAAAATAAGAATGTTTGTGTTTTCGTTACGTTAGAATTGGGCCTCATGATTACAGAGCCCCCTCTTGTTTAAGAGATGTTACACATAAGCCCTACTAAAAGGAAACAATCAGTTATTCATTATAACTTATTATAATATTTAAGGAGACTAGAGCTGCTTACAAAGGCATAAACTGCTGGTTTAAACGGTCTGTCCAATCCTGGTTATTGGTTTTGTAAAAAAAAAAAAAACACTAAAACAAGCTGTTATATAAAGTGTAACTAATAAAAACTGGTTTTGCTTTTGCAGGAGTATTTGCAGAACAAGTTTAAGAAGACAGAACAGAGAGTTGGGCAGTTGGAAAACCACAGTGCAGCCATCTGTCAGGTGTACAAAGAGCAGGACCTCACCAGGGGTAAGCAGCAGTGTGTGTGTGTGTGTGTGTGTGTGTGTGTGTAAGAAATAGGACGGAGAGAATTTAAGTGATCACTCATTGCAAATATTACTCATGTCTGTGTAGATCTCGGCATGGAGCACTTCATGAGGAAGGTGGAAGCCGCCCACTGTGCAGCGTGTGACCTTTTCATCCCCATGCAGCCCCACCTCATACAGAAACACATCAAGTCTCCTGACCATAACTACAACCGGAAGGTATGGCAGAGCGCATGATTCTATAGAAAACTAAATGTACTGTACCTGTAAAAATGACTGACTGTGATGATGTTTTGCACTCTTCCTATGTGTGACTTCGGACTGTTCTCTCTCTGATTCAAGGGTATGATGGAGCAGTCCAAGAGGGCCAGTCTGTCAGTTGCTCGTAGCATCCTCAACCACAAACTCATTGGCAAGAAGCTGGAGAGCTACCTCAAGGTATGTACAGTGCCATGTACGAAAAAGGTCCCACATTTACCAGTGCTCTTTTGAGCTATTGACTTTGCAAATAGATAAGGGTAAAAGTTTGTGGTCACAGTGTAATGGCACGCTTTTAACCACAGTTCAAGTGAAACCAGCATACACCCCTCACTGATTTCATAACATCAAACTTTGTTGCTCTTATCTGTTCGTAATTCATTGCTGCATTTATAAATCACTTCTGTCGTCTTGATTTGAGATCAAGGTAATAAAATGGGGAAAAAATGTTTATTAGTTTCTTTTCTTTCCTATTGTGAAAGGCAGTATGTAGTAGTATTGTTTTAGAAAGGGGGAACTTGAATAACTCAAAGAGCTTCCTGACAAAATATAGTGCATATTTTGTCAGTTCATGTTTTTAAATGCCACAGGGAGAAACACTCTTTATCATTCATAATGGATTGAATAAATACAAAACACATAATGGATACATAAATGAAGCCAGGTCCATGTTTTTATTGCATGTGTCTTGTGGATCATCGAGCCTTAAGTGAAAGATGAGACCATCTCTGAGACATGCATATGTAGAGACTTGAACCTCGCTGATTTCAGTCTAATTGATCATGTACGTGGGGACTCGTAGACAAACAAATTAACACATATAAATATTCTTTTGTTGTCAGGGTGAAAACCCATTCACGGGTAACCAAGACGACCAGGATCCAGAGGACTCCATGGCGATGGACGTGTCTGAGCTGGAGTTGACCGGTGAGACAGCAGACGGTGAGACGGCAGACGGTGAGACAGCAGACGGCCAGACAGCAGACGGCCAGACAGATGCGGCACCAGTCAAAGATGAGCCTTTGGCTGAAGGAGAGACTGGCCAAGAGGCGGGCGAGGCTGAAGCATCAGCAGCAGCATCAACATCATCGGCGGCGGCAGCAGAGGAGGAAAAGATGGAGGAGGAGCAGAGGAACCAGGAAGAGGAGGAAGGTTTTGAAGTTGGAGAGGAGGAAGAGGAGGGATACGTGGTGCACGATGAGATTGGCGAAGAGGGATTGCAGGGTGAGTTGGAAGAGGAGGAGGAGGAGGAAGGAGTAGAGGTAGCAGAGGTCGAGGAAGAGGAAGGAGTAGAGGCAGCAGAGGTCGAAGAGGAAGACAAGAGCGATGAATGACTTTTTCACCCAGTGTGACTTCTCATCCTTAACATCTGTCTGGACCAGTCAGTGACCCCCACAGTCCCATCCAGTCTCATTGTCAGGCTTATTAAGAAATATACACACCTGCTCCCACCGTTTCTCATCTCTTCAGTTTATATAAGTTAAGTTTTGTTAAATGAACAGTTCCACATTTTGGGAAGTACTCTTACTTTTCTTACCAAGACTTAGATAAGAAAATTGTGAAAAAAAAATAGTTAAACTAGTAAACACTACAACTGTCTTATGTATGCCCAGCAGTTCTCTTTGGAGGTGTAGATTTAGACTTATTTTTGGACTGGAGAGAGCTAGGCTATGGATTTCCCCCCTGTTTCTAGTCTTAACGCCAAGCTAATCTCCTCCCTGTATTTCCCAAAATGTCAAACTATTCCTTTTTAATACTTTTTTTTTGTGCCTTTCGTTTAATTTGTTTAAGAAATCTTGAGTATTGTAAGGTTAAAAGAGTACTTTTTTTCTTATGAACGTTACACATTGCCATAGCATTCTGTCCATTGCCAGTGTCGATGGTGAAAGGATGATTTTCCAACCTTTTTGGTAAAATCTGTAACAGGGTGGGCTTTTTATTCTACAGCTGTGAGGTAATTGAGGGGACTGTCTGTAGAATAAATGTGGAATATAAAGAATTTGTATCAGTCATGTAACAAACACTTGTTTCACTCTGAGTAAGAAATAAAGTTGTTGAATAAATCACAGTTTCACTGTTTCCTGTTGACAATTTGCATGTTTAAAGTCAATGCCAGAAGAGTTTAAACTGTAGCTTAACTGACCACCAATCACCAGTAGTGTGTCAAACATGTAGGCACTACGAGGGTTAAACTTTGACTACATTAAGCTTGCAGCTGGCGGTGATGGCATGAGTTTAAATCAAAGGGGAAGAATCTTGAGGAGTTACAACTCAGGAGTGTGTTCCTGTACACTGATGCAGCGATTAGATCTATATTAATGGCAACTTACTTGGATTTAAAACCCTCCTTAACTCCTTCTGACGCAAAGCACTTTGAAGATCAATATATATAGAAATGGCTCCTATCACAAACTACCGACATTATTTATAATTCACAAATATCTATCAGTCCGGTAAAGGACGTGTCCATTAAACATAAACACGATTTTATCCTGTAAAACACAAAATGGAAAGTTTAAAGAATAATATAAATGTATTTAGTTACTAATGCACTTTCTGTGTCATCATTGTTTTTACATTAAGATAAGATAAGATAAGAAAACCTTTTTTTGTCCCACAGTGGGGAAATCGCAGTTTGCAACAGTATACAGAAAGGACAGAATAAAAAATAACATTACAACACTAAGACTGGCATCTAGTTATTACTGATCCCTTAATAACAGATTGAACTGCATTTCATGTACATCGGCTCATTCAAGCATACACCATCAACCTACATATAATATTATAATATAATGTAACTGTAAATTCACTCACAATCCCTTTTTTGCTTGTGTGAGCACTACTTCCTCTGTTGCCTTATTGTTGCACTATTTATTTATTTATTTTAACATTCCTTTTCCCATTCCCATTTCCCTCGTGCTGTGACTCTCTAGGAATTCCTCATACCCGCTCAATCACCTCACCGCACCTTTTGTGGTGAATTGTAACAAAGCAATAAAAAACATGAGGAGTTTAGGTAGGTAGTTTAGTTACTGACTTACAGGATCAAAGACGTAAATCACGATAAACACCAACCTGTTGACAGGTGAACGCTGAAATCATTACACGGTATTGCATGATGTTACCCCCGGGAGGAGGAGGTGGAGCTGTGTGTGT